CTTCCCCACTGTTTGGGGCTTATCTGTCGCTTCCTCTTCTTCCTCGTGTTTTTTTGCAGAAGTGAGAGGATCTTCCATGCTAACAAGCAGTTCAGTCACATACTCTTCTTAGATTTCTTGAAATCCTGAATCACCTCTCACTTCCTTAACGAGCTTCATAATGTATTTCACGTCCTTGCCTTCATCAAAGCCCTTCAAATCATGGAATACCTCAGGCCATAGATTATGCCACACTCCATTTAGTGCAGTTTCTGGCACACTTTTTCATGCAAGTTTGATGTTAGTTATCGCATCTTTGATGGTGTAGCTCTTCCAAAACGTTGCTGCAGTCATATTGTTGTCCTTGTTCATAGCTTCAGCCATTTGCCTCATGGTATTCTTGAGATAATATCTCTTGAACAAGGCAATAACACCTTGATCTAGTGGCTGAATAAGTGAAGTCACGTTCGGAGGGAAGAAGGTCAAGTTTACGTCATTATTCACACTGCACAGGTGTTTGGCGTGGCTAGGTGCATTGTCCACGAGAACCAAGGCTTTGTTGCTAAGGTTCAATTTTTTTTTTAATTTTCGATGAATGGGGCGGCATGGCTGATGTACCATTCATCGAAAATGTCAGAAGTCATCCACGCCTTTTTGTTTGATCGCCAAATTACAGGAAGTTTCGAGATGCGCTCATTTTTAAAGGCACGAGGTCTAGCTGAGTGGTGGATGACGAGTGGCTTCATTCGTGTGTTGCCTTATGCGTTCGCCACGAGGAGAATCGTCAGTCTGTCCTTGCTGACCTTAAACCCTTGTGCTTTATCTTCACTCTTCATTAGATAGGTTTTCTTGGGCATTCTTTTCCAATACAGTCCAGTTTCATCACAATTCCACGCTTGGCAAGGAGAATATCCATTTTCTAACACTATATCCTTCATAACTTTCTTCATATCCCCGGTCGCCTCCGCGTCGACAGATGCAGCTTCACCCGAAAGCGTCACATTCCGTAGCCCCGTCTTTTTGATAAATTTGGACAGCCAGCCTGTACTTGCTGTGAACTTACTGTCTTTAATGGACTTCTCTTCCCCTTCAAGTATCCGAGACTGTTTTCCTAGGCTTGGTTTTGCAGCACTGGGCCAGTGAGAGGAAGTATTTTGCGCTGCATGTCTTCTACCCATAACTTAAGTGCTTCTTCCATCTCACCATACATAGCACTCTTTGGGTGGAGTTTACCCTTGGCAACATCTGGTGAAGCATAGGCTGCTCTAATTTTCTTCTCATTGAGCTTTATAGTGCGGACAGAGCCCTCCGACAGTCCAAATTGACAACCCACACTTGAAGCACCATTTCTACGCTGCAGTGCTTCCAGCACCTTGATTTTCTGCTCCAGTGTAATTACTTGCCTTGATTTCTTGGCCTGTGGGGTAGTTAATGATGTAGTAGCTGTCCTCTTGGATATAATGGCGATGGTTGATACACGTGGTAGAAGAGATAGTGTCACACAGTAAGTCTGTTCACTGGAGCGTCAGCACGAGAACTGAGGATGTGGGAGGGCGGTGGGCAGCCACGTAGCGTGTCCAGAGACGCGTCTGGTGGGAAACATTAGGCGCAAAATTTAAAATTTGATGCGCCTTGATTGACTCGCGCAAAATAGGAAATATTCGCTTTAAATTAAAACTGTCCTTAATTGTGGATGTCGCTTTAAATCAATAATCTTAAATCAATTCGCATTAAATCGACGTTCTACTGTACATCCAAAAAGATAAATAAACTAAATCATTTTGTATTGTACTCACTGATGGCCAGAGGTGGAGCAAGTGTGTGGTGGAGAGGAGGGTGGCGAGTCACTGAAACCCCGAGGGGGACTCCCCTTCTCGCTCTGACTGGGTTTCCCCCTCCATTTTCGTAGTAAGGCTAATGGTCTTGCATTGCTTCTTCACAACACTAGCATCACTAACACTTGATGGGCGCTTGAAAACCATTTTGAATGGTTACAGTACAGTATTTATAGCAAAAACACTTAAGCAAGCATGTTCGCTATGGAAGCCTAACAAAGATTGGGGGACGCTGTGAAACTCCGTGAGAAAGCGTAGCGCGCCAAGATGAGAGAGGGTGATGCGTCACACATAGTAATCCATGTTGGGTGACAACTTTATAACGAATCTGTCAGGATGTTGTCGGAATCATGGATATTGTTGGGATATGTGCCGGTTTGGCAACAGTGTATGGATCCACCAACGGCGGGAGTTAGACAGTTAGTTCCACCTCAGATGCCAAGCCCTGTGGACATGTCTGTCCCGCCTTATCACCTTCGCTAATAAACAGATTATGGACGCGGCCTTTAATTATCCCCCGAGGACTTAGTGTAATATATTTATTTATTTTTACTCTGTTACATGTTCACACAATCATTCATACAGAATGTGGAAAAAATGAAAAATATCTTAAGGTCAAAAATATAACTTGAATGAAAATTTCTTAATTGTGCATAAGTTAACACATATTATAGAGGGGGGAGGGGAGGTGGGAGCTGTGTAGGGGATTTCAGCTCGTCTCATGATTAGTGACAAGATTGCTAAATGCTAATGCAGTAGTATTTTTTATTTTCTTATATTTATTATTATTTATTTCTCACCATTTACTGGTACAGTACTGTATATAATATTTTATGTACAAAGAATAGCTTCTTCCACATGCAAACCATCCTCTGGGTGCCTGGCAGTCACCGGTGACGGACAGAGCCTCCCATGCATCCCGCATCATCGTATCTTGGAATATTGCGAGTTACTGCACATCACTTTTTCATAGCAGTAACAATGCAGGAAAAACATTTGGGTAGCAATCATCGTAAAACTGATCTTAGCCATCACATAGCAGTAAGTGGTGTTAATTTTTTAACATTGTAAAACTGATCGAGCACATACAGGGTGATTCAGCAAAGAGTACATTAAATTGGAGGATGAAATCCTTGGATAATTCTAAACCACAATGTCTCTATGGTAAAATGTCAGATTCTGCATAGTTTCCATGTTACAATACATTTAAGATGTTGTATTAATGAGTGTGAATTTGAAGTGAAACCCCCGTAGGTTTTTGTAATCATTTATTCACAGATCTCTACAGTGTGACCCCTCTTTGTTACAACCTAAAGGAAATGTTCAAAGTTGCCCCCTTCTGCCTCAATGCAGGCCTGTACATGTCGTACCATTGATTGTCTGACGCGTTCCAGAATGCCTGGACTATTTTTAATTTGCTCGCACCTGTCAAGAACACGTGGGCATATGCACAAACTAACATTTTACCATATACAGTAGACCAGTGGTTCTCAACCTTGTTTGCCCCATGCACCCCTTTCACCATATGTCAGAATGTCATTCCCCCCTCCTTTCCAAGATTGTCTGCCTCAAAAAGTGCATTCCAAATAATATGCATATAATAATGAAAATCCTTTATTTTTTCCATATTAGTACATACCGGTATACATTTACAATTTTACATGGATTATTTTTATAGTGGAGTTTTACAAATTAAATGCCAATTGAAAATGTTGGGATTTATAAAACTTGAATAAAAGTAAAATAGTTTTTTTTTTATTTATAATGAATTACTTAACAGACCAAACTGAAGCATAATGCAATAAACAAAAAGTTCAATAGAATACCAGGATATTGTAAATTTGTAATTAATTTTATTCAGATGAAGATTACAGTCAATGAGAAACCTATGATTGTTTTTTCTTCGCCAATTCTGGGATAGGCTGAGGAGTGCTTGAAAGGGCACAACGCAGGTCATTTTCTACCTCTAATCTACTACGTTGCTTCGTTTTAATTTGCAACAGAGTTGAAAAGCCTGACTCACAAAGATATGTCGACACAAACGGAAGCAATGCACGGATAGCTCTTTCTGCCACTTTTGGGTAGGAATCGCACATCAAGGGCCAAAATTCTGTGATTGATTTCTCATCGAACATATCTCTTGCTCCCGAATCAGTTTTTCCCCCCTCCCCCTGAAAACCTGAATTCCCCCCCTGGGGGGAATTCCCCCCTGGTTGAGAACCCCTGCAGTAGACATTGTGGTTTAGAATTATCCAAGGATTTCATCCTCCAATTTAATGTACTCTTTGCTGAATCACCGTGTATAGATCCATCGTGGAACAGTCATTGCCTGTACTGTACAGTAATATCTCTATTGGTTGGAATCCCTGAAACCCGGAACTCTCTGATAGCCAGAATTGAAAATTTCTCTGAAAATCACTCCCAAAGCTATAATTTTCAGGAAAATTCCAGCTTTGGGAATGAATTTCTGAGGGGCACATTTTCTGGAAAATTCTTAGAAAATTTTCCATGTACAGTACTTGGAAAATTCCAGGGATGGGGGAGTTTTTTCTGGGTTTAAGAGATGAAAATCAGGCATATTTTTCCAGATTTGAGAGATGATGTAATGCTCAGTTTCTGGAAATTCCGAGAATATTTATCAGTTACGGTACTCAAAAAATTCCGGGGGATGATGGATTTTTTCCGGCTTTGAGAGATGAAATAGTGCATCATTCTGGAACTTCCGAGAACATTTTTTTGTTACCTGGAAAATTCCAGGGATTTTTTTTTTTTTTTTTTTTGAGAGAGAGAGAGAGAGAGAGAGAGAGACCGACCCAGAAATGCTCTGCACCAATTGTTCCAGCTAACAGAGATATCACTTACTCTGTTACTTGCTTGAGGTTGAGTGCTTTCTTTAGTATATCTCTCCTGTGCTTTGTGTTTAGGGATGGTGATCTTCACTAACAGCACTGTGTGTTTATTGAATCTTTCCATATATATGTGTAACTCATCTACAAAATCAACCACATTTCTCGGCATGTGTTTGACTGATTGTTCGTCTATTTCTCCCTCCTTCCTTGTATTTACATTTGTATTCATAGAAATTTTAAGCACTGCATTTACTCCATCCCTGCTATAATCAGGTGTTTTATTTTTATTTTTTTTTACATGTTAAATAAAGTTCAAACTAGTTGTCGTGTTTTGCAGTTCTGAGTATGGTTGAAGAAGGATCAGTGAACATAGAGGACCTGCCTCCACTGGCTGACATAGATGAGGAAGTTGGAGAATATTTCTTTGAGTCTGACCCTTTAGCTCTTAAGGATAACCCAGACTACCAGCAGTTGATCAAGGCCATGGTCAAGCTACAAGCACAGCGTGCCAAGGCAGTTAAGGTAACTAAAAAAGTTTCATTGCGCAGTACTGTATAGTAATTATGTTCTATAATATACAGAGTAACACTAAACATTCTTACTATAGGTGAATTCATTCGCTTTTGATTTCATACCTTCCAATTTATCAGCCATTGTGCATTTTCAGATTTGTTTGTGAATTGCAGTACAGTAGGGTCGGGATATACCACGAGATAGGGCCCAACGATGTTCGCTTTATACTAAATCGCGATATATAATTACATGTAATCAATGGGGAAAATAGGGTTAGGTTCTGGAGGCCAAAAAAAGTGACTAAACTTACTTAACGAGTTCACTCTCTTACTAATTAAAGCACCAATGAACACCAGACTCGGGAACAACACGCTATTTCAATATCAATATGAAGGAACACCAGACTCAGGAACACTAGACTCAGCAGCTGACGCCACTGTAAGGGCGGTAACGAGCAGGATGGTTGTCCGCTGCTCGTTTGCTTGTTCGCGGCCCCACTATGGGGGTAGACGGAGGTGAGAAGGTCCCTGCTGCTTCGTCACACATCAGACACTACCCAGCCATCAGCAGAGCTGTACTTGCTCCCCGCTGTTCGTTACAATTCTGGTTGTGTGCTCATCTGAGGCTCCTGGGGCTCGTGGGCTGATTCCCCAGTCCTTCACTATTCGGCTGTCAACCTCCGAACACCTGCTCCGACTACTACTGCGGCTGTAACGTCATCGCCACTTCCTCCACGCCCTACTCACCATCCGTGCCCTGGCGTCTCTCCTGTGTGGCAAGACATCGCCCACCAACGCCGGCGCCAAGTAAAAAAGCTGCACAGGACCTTCCCCCTGAGAGCGGACTACCGCGTCAACGGAACATTCCACCAGGCTGCCGCCATAGGAAATATCCATTAATTGTTTGACTCCCGTAATTTTTGACTCCCGTAATTGTTTGACTCCCTTAATTGTTTGACTCCCTTAATTGTTTGACTCCCGTAATTGTTTGACTCCCTTAATTGTTTGTCTCCCGAATTTGTTTATTTAATATTTGTGTGAGTGGTGTCAATTATTGTGATTATTTTAGTAGTAAAGAGATGTCAATCTCTAACTGTTGTTTGTTATCCCTTGGAAACCCATGGTTCTTGACTCCTTTTATAAGATCCTGAGTAGGCCGGCAAGGGATTTATATCTCAAAGTCCAGGCCTTTACAGCCACACTGCCACCCTCACTTGACAATCCCACACCTACATCAACAAACACCAAAAATATTGCTTACAGTATTAAATCTTTTCCATTAAGCTTTCCATTATCTTCACTTTACTTTAAACGTCACTCGCAACCCATTTACACTCGCCTTAGAAGTCGTAATCTGCAGCAGAGTCGGCTGCTTTCTCGTCACTCACTCAGAAAGACTGAGCGGGCGAGCGTGAATACGTGAGTGAGCAGCCACGTTGGCACCTCTGGTGAGCAAATAACGCATTTGTTTGCCATGGCGGTACATCTGAAATATTTCCTGCCCGATTTCCCTCGTGAATTAAATTTTTTTTCGCTATATATAGGATAATTTTGATAGCCGCGATATAAAAAAAATCGTTATATAAAGTTGCAATATATCCCGACCCTACTGTACTGTATACCCACCAAAGTTCAGGATGAAATTCATTCTGGTTATAAAACTTTGGATTATGGCTTTTTTGGATGATATACCGTATTTTTCGGCTTAAAAGACACACTTTTTATGACAAAAATATACCTCGAAAATTACTGTGCGTCTTCCAGGACACTAGTCGATGAGTTGTAGCAGAGGTTTTTGAAATCAGCCCCTTACAAAGACTGTTACCTCATTACAGTGCTTAACAATTACAAGTATTCTATACAGTACTATAAAACTATTGATTTAACTAATATTGTTGATATTTTGCAAAAATAAATAAAAAAATAAACCCTTGCTGCTGTGTGGTTTGTTTACTAATGGCAGTGGTGCGGCAGCGCCATCTATTGAGGAATTGCTAAAGGTCTGCTGGTCTCAAATGCAGGAATGTTTGTTTCTTTATATGTAGGCTCTCATATTTGGACACCTATTAACAGTAGGCTCTTATATTTGGATACCCATTTAGACTGTAAAAACCCCACAAAATTAAAATCTTCCAAATTTAAATACAACTTTGTCATCCCAGTCAAAACACACACACAACAACATTGGCTGTCCTAACTTTACTACCACTGGTGAGTAGAATTTTTTTTTTAATTCAGAAACATTAATTAAAATATATATGAACAGTAAATAAGTGTTGCTTTCATATTCTTATTTAGAGTAATGATGATATGTTTCCACGTGTGCGCACTTACATATGCGATCTCTCTTTTTTCTTTACCATTATCGTTAGCTACTTCTATTGTTCCATTTATTAACATTAAATAATATTACTTAAAACAACCATTCTAATTTTACTACAGCTACAACCAGGGTCTTATTTTCTTCAGTTTTATATGTAGAACCAGTCAGTCACTGGTTTTGTAAACAACAAAAACAATGACGTCTTGTCTCCTCATGTGTTTTAATATTCTTCGTATTATTAATGAATTGTATTGTTCAATTTGCACACATAAACAATAATTCAATCAAAAAGAAGTTTAGAAACATTAATTGAAACATATATGAACAGTAAATAAGTGTTGCTTTCATATTCTTATGTAGAGTAATGACGATATGTTTACACATGTGCGCACTTACATACACGATCTCACTTTTTTTTTACCCTTAATTGTTAGCTACTTCCATTGTTCCATTTATTAACATTAAATAACATTACTTAAATCAACCATATTAATTTTTCTACATTAATTTTAATACAGCTACAATGGAGGACTTATTTTCTTCAGTTTTATATGTAGAACCAATCAGTCACTGGTTTTGCAAAAAAGAGTTGTTTTTTTACTTTTACTTTGTTTTTAAATAAAGATTTTTTGTTTTATATAGACGTTGATATACTGTACATGTTTACATTTGCTTACCTTCTACTGTTGGAAAACATTTCCCGTCGTTGTCATACCGACAAAAACAAGAGAAAGAATGTAAACACTACAGCCCCTAAGATGTGGAGGTGACCAGGTGTATAAAATGAGCGCTGTATTAAAGATTTCACCTTCTTATACAGATTTTTTTTTTAAATTGATAAAAATGACAACTGATAAACAGTTCGAATTGATGATATTCAAAGAGGTGTGTGTGTGTACTTGTGCCAACGGTTTCACTGGTGCAGGTAGTAGGCAGCTAATGTACCAAATAAGGGAAGATATTGGAAGCATAATGTATTATCTAATGGTAGACCCTGCTGCTATGTGACCAAGTCCCAGGTTGATGATCTGACTTTCTGCACGGTCTCAATTGTTTCTCTTACTTTGACAACACAACATAAATACAGGTATATTGTTTCTCACTCTTGATATTTTTTTTTCATTTTTTTTTCTTTATTATTACTATTATTATTATTATTATTATTATTATTATTATTATTATTATTATTATTATTATTATTATTACCCCTAGGCCCCAATGTGGGTCAGTGACCTGTGCCCAGGTGGGCTAAAACACATAATTTTTTTTTTTTGTAGAATTTCATTTCCAAAATCAGGGTGCGTCTTCCAAGCCGAAAAATACGGTATTATGACCTAAAAGTGGTAATGTTATGTCAGGGTTAAATCAAGCCAGGACTGCTTAACTTGGTAATACAGTACCGTATAACGACATACACAGTGGCTATAAATGCAGTAGTCCCTCGCCAACTGTGTTGGGTTAGGTTCCTGAAAAACCCTGTGGTGGCAAATCTGTGGTTGGCAAGACTTGTTGCATATTCCTTCAATAAACAATACCTGTATTGTACATTTAATTAAGTTTGAGTCAAATACACATTAAATAGCTTAATATAAATTAATTAGTTATAAAAAATTTACAGTACATCTCTGTGGAGATGGCATGTTGTGTTGCTATAAAATAAGAAAAATAAGAGTGTGGGTGTGTACGTGTGTGAAGTGAATGCATGTGTGTGCATGGATTTGGCAGGTCGTCAAGTTAGAGTGTCCTAGTAGCTACATCAAGCCAAGCTGTATTATTGTTATTTTTCAACTTGTATGTTCAGGTAAGTATACGATTTATTTTTATTTTTATTTATTTATTTTTACTCTGTTGAATGCACACACAATCATTCATACAGAATATGAAAAAAAAAGTAAAAAACATAAGAAAATAATCATTTCTTACATATGTGGGATTGTGAGAGAGATGGGGAGTGTGGTGTAGGGGATCTTGGTCTCCCCCTACTCAGCCAAGTCATATTTTAGGGTAGATATTCTGTAGGTATTTTTTTTTTACTCTGTTAAATGCACACACAATCATTCATAAAAATGTGCAAAAAACAACAACAATATGATAAGGTCAGAAACATAGAGCGAATAAGCATTTCTTATGTCAGCGGAAGTTAGCCCACGATTGTGGGTGGGGAAGGGTGGAACGCGCTTCTGTCTCCTGTGTCCTTAGTGAAATGATTGCCAAATGGTGAAGCAGTAATTTTTTATATATTTATTTGTATTATTTTTCTATATTCCTCACATTTATGGAGGGATGCATTAGAACCACGGAGGGATAAAGACACCATACTAATCCGTGTATACAGTATATAAAATTAAATGCTGCGGTTGGTGAAATGGTATAGAGCGAAAACTGTGGCTACTTGGCAAGTGTCTACTGTATTAATTTTTTCACTGTCTTTTTGTAAGAGAAAAATTCTTGATTTGTTTGCATGTGAGACTGTATGAATTCACTTAATTAGGTGCAAATTTGAAGGTATTTGCACATGAAAGTGTTAAGTTAAATGATCTTCATGCATTATAAACACTGCTCTACGTGGCATGGAGTTTGGTCATTTAATCCATGGAATTGTGAATCATCTTCATGCAATACAAGTTTTTGGCGTACAAATGATAACCTGTGTAAAGTGAGGGAGTAGTGTACAGCCACTCCTCGAC